TCCGAGAGGGACAAAGGAATCGAACCCAGGTCAACCGCGTGCAAGGCAAATGCCCTACTTGCTGTGCTATCGCTCCAGTCCAGAGTCTATTATATACATCAGAATGAAGTTCTAGATATGTTTTTTAAAATCACTACTGTTTTACACATTGAAAAAAGAAAAGGACAAGAGGGTTATCATTGAGATTTTGGAAAGAGGAAGTTTCCATTTATCCAAATGCTTACTATTCCTCTATTATACTCAGCACTATTTTGAGTCATTCACATACAATTGCCCTTTTCATTTAATATTTTTGTGCTAGTTTTGTTCTTATCCCTCATTTTCATTCTTTGAAGCAATTATTACATATTTTGGGGAATCATTCTTTAATTTCTGAATAAGTGAATTCTTGCTCCAGGCCCATATTAACTTGGGGGTTTCTATTGTTGAACTATACCTGGCATCAGATTCTTACTTCATGACCATCTCACCTAAAATATCCTACTCTTTCCTCTTAATACATCTTGATGTTCTAATGACTATCAGTCCATGCTCACATATAATCGTGGTTTCATGCACTCCTTATTTTAATTGGGAGGGAGGGCTTGGGGGAGGGGGTAGAAATTTCTATGACCCAGCTAACATCTAACTCATTTCAAGAACACTCATCTACTGTAAATGTCAGTCAAGGAAATATTTGAACATCCGGTAATTTAAATTTTCTTTCTTTCCAGCTTATTTCCAGTATTCCTTCTCCTGGCAAGCCATATTGCATAATGATAGCTTTTAAAAATACTTCACAGTAAAAAAGAGACCTAGATTTTCCAGTGCTGTGCATTTTTATAGATTCTTAGATTCTCATTTTGCCTATTGTTACATGTCCCCCATGCATGAATCCAGGGATGAAGTATCCTCAAAACCCGTATTTTGGTTAAAACAAAAATTAACCCGTTATCTTAATGTAAAAAAGTAGTTGAGTTACCGAATAAATATAGAAACAAGGTTTTTCACCAGTAGGTCAGAGGAGAAAGTTAAGCATACTCATTTTCTCTTGCTGTTGCAACAAATTACCATAAATCCAATGGCTTAAATAACATGAATTTATTATTTTTTATTCTAATAGACTGGAGTGATAGCACAGCGGTAGGGCGTTCGCCTTACAAGCGGCCAACATGGCCGACCCGAGTTCGATTCCTCCACCCCTCTCGGAGAGCCCGGGAGCTACCGAGAGTATCTCACCCGCACGGCAGGGCCTGGCAAGCTCCCCGTGACGTATTCAATATGCCAGACACAGTAACAACAAAGTCTCCAATGGAGACGTTACTGGGCCCGCTCGAGCAAATCGACGATCAACGGGAGGGCCTTTATTATTATTTATTTATTTATTCTAATAGACGCGAGTCCAAAATGGGTCCACAAGGCTAAAACCAAGGTATCAATAGGAATATGTTTCTTCTGGAAGATTTAGTGGACAGTTTTCTTGCTCTTTCCAGCTTTTAGATACCTCCCACATTCCTTGGCTCGTGGCCACTTCTTCCATCTTCAAAGCCAACAATATCACATCTCTGCAGTCACATCTCCTTACAACTCACATCTTCCCTGTATCCCTCCCCTTCACAGAGCCTCTGTAATCATACAAAGATGCAAGTCCATTTCATTATTCAATTGCCTCACTTTCAGATGAGCTATTCGCCAATTCCTTTTTGCTCTGAATCATAGAGGCAAGTCCCAGGAATTTCGATATGGATATGGTGGAGGGTGCTGTACTCTGCCCACCATGCAGATACTTCCATTTCAATTAACTTGAATTTCCCTGAAACACTGTAGTTCCTTAAAATTGTGCACTGCTAAGAAGAGAAGAGCTGGAGAAAAACAGTGTTAGATTGCTGAGAGCAATAACTTGTGTTTCAGTTTTTAACCATGAGCTCTGATTCCAGTGGGATGATACTCCTACTCAGAGAAAAATAGGGACAGATCTGGAATGGTCACTGCCACATAACCATCTGTTCCTGAGTCCATGTAGCATGGCAATTCCTGGCCTATATTCTGGTAGACTGATGTCATGGAACATGGAATCACCAGGATATAGCATACATATGATATATCAGATATTTGCCATACCCTGCTACTTTTCAATCATTGTAGGCCAAAAAGGGGGTAGTGATCTCAAAATTGACTTAACAAGCTTTGAATTATTAAAACTGTCCAAGGCACAAAAAAAAAATAAACTTTACTGCTTTTTTTACACACATTTGCATACAAAAACAAGATAAATGGATAAATTATAGTGGCCTAATCTAGTCATGCTACTATTTAGGATTGACAGGTTGGTTGTTTTAACAGCTGTATGATGCTTAAGCTTTAAAGATCCCAAGTCTCTGATTTAAGAAAAATCACTTTACATGCATTTATGAATATCTTTTAGAAATACTTTCTCATTAGAACTCTTGGCTAAAGAGAATTTTTATATTTCAATCGAAAGTCACAATACTGTTACTAAATGTTCAAATTTTTAAAGTAGTTGATGCAAAGCTCTTTTTTTTTAAACAAAATATAAAGTCAAATATGAAACAAAGTGAAAGTTTCAAATCTGAATATATGACCTGAAATACAGGCCAGCAAAAGTCAACTTGTCGTGTTTAGTGTGATATTTTAAAAGGCAAACATAATCAAACACGATATAAATATAAACTGAATGAATTTCAGCAGAGACAAATTGATTCTACTACAGTTTCATGTCAAAGATTATGAGAGGTATACTTTTTCTTGAGATCTTGAGAATATATAAGTAATGTCAATGTGAGGCATAGCCATCACTCATGTGTTCACTTAAATCTTAAATTTCTACCTTTCTCACCCTCTATTCCCTCCCCTCTGCTCTACCCAAACTGTATCAGCACCTATAGCAAAAAGGTGCTTCTGGAAACACTGAATAGTTTCCATGGTTCGGGAGGGATGTCCACCCATGTTTTACCTCAGTGCTGCTCCTTAGTAATACCGAAGTAGGCCAGATCTAAGTGAGAGCCAACTGAGCAATGGAATGAAGGGGTGATCCAAACGGGATACTAAAGAACACTCCAAATAAACGCACCTATTTTAAAGTAACATATAGCCACTTTTGACATGAGTAGATAACCCCGTGGCATATTCGATATGTAACAAGTAACAAGTCTCACAGTAGAGACGATACTGGTGCCCGCACTAGCAAATCCATAAACAACAGGTCAGAGCTAGAGATAACCTAGATAAAGGGATAAACTTTCTAAGGCTCTGAAATATATTTATCAGACCCTCAGGACTGTGGATTGAGCTCATTCAATCTATGGGAAAAGTATAAAACTGAATTGGCAGAGTCAATCCTCATTGACAAGTCCATCATGTCAGTAAGACTTGCTGTCAAAACAAGTCTGACTTAATTTTTCGATCACAATGGAAGCTAGTCTTAGGGCAAATATGTGTTTTCTTGTGTTTTCTGACTGCTTAAAGGAACAAATCAGTACTGCACAGAGTCTTGTCATGTACTAATGCGTTGGGTGAATGGGGAGGAAGATCTGGCAGGCACTAGCCATGCTGAGAGGCAGATCAGTTTCAACAAAAGAAGCAGAAGTTGAGGATCTGAGCATGGAATCCCTCGAAACACTCCATTTCCTGGGAAGTCAGGCATGCTTTAGGGCACATATGCCATTTGGAGACTGCTGGGAGGCTTAGGATCCTCTTTAAAAGCATCTAACATAATACAAATCTAAGGTGGTATTTCTAAGGAAAATCCCTCTGATGGTATTTCTCTGAGGGATCCTAAGCCTTTGGAGATATTCAAACTCAGTTATATGATACCTAGTTTCCACCAACATGGGGAGGGTCAACACTAGAGATTATCATCTTGCTTGTGTCTTGTGTTGCCAACCCTGTTTTTGATCCTGGCAATTTGCCCATCCCAGAAATGGCTGCTACATTTCCTTTCCTCAGTCCTTGAACTGGTGCTTTTGTTTTAGTCCTTTAACCAGACTGGATCACCTTTCAGTTTGTTTGGCTTTGTCTAAGTTAATCACCCACCTTTCACCCTGAAGTCCCGAGTCATTACTGGACTTTTGGGCACATGTGACTGATTTTGAGTCTTTGGTTCTTTTAGTGCCAGAAGTGAAGATGCTGTTTTTTTTAAGAGCAAATGAAAAACAACTTCAACTGCCAAGGCTATTGTGTGCCAATGGAGGAGCTGCTTATGCAAACACTCGGAGTGTAAAATCACACTGGGAAAACCAGCAGAGTGTAAAATCACAATGGGAATGCACTTGGAAATGCTCTCTCCCCTGTCACTTGGGGGGAATGAGGGGGTGGGTGGGGAGAGATGTTGACAATGGACAGAAGGCGAGCAAAGAAGACTTTATTAGGCACTTTCTCTTCTTCTTGAGGATGCTTCTGGTGCTTTCCAAGGAAGCTCCAAGTAATTTGACCATATCCAGTTTCCTTCACTGGCTGTGAGTTGATTCCCACGGTGGGTGCTTCGAGAAGCACCTGGCGGTGAAGGTGCAGGGCGGGGGGGTTGGGGAGAGGGGGGCGGCTCAGTTCACCCAGGATCAAGGTCGTCCGTCCCCTGAGCCCTTGACTAAACTGAGACTCTCTCTGGTCATGTCACCTCTTAGAAGCGGGTCTGTGTCGCCTTCCAAAGAACCCCAGTACCTGCCTGCCTGCCCCACCTCCTCCCTCGCTGTCCCAGCGACCAGTTCCTACCAGGGGGGTGGCTCTGAAGCTGCAGCCACGGCGGGGGTTTGGGGGGAGGACAGCAGCCGAGGCCTTCGCACGCAATCGTCGCGGGGAGGTGGGGGATTGACAGGGTAGAGGGGGAGAGAGGCGAGGGCAGAGGCAGAGATGCTGGAGGCGCGCGCGCGCGCGCGCGCGCGCGCAGGTGCCGGTGCCCGCGCCCGCCCCGAGGCGGCCAGGCTCTGGAGCCTGCAGGGGGGCACGGGGCGGGAAGGCGGGGAGGGTGGGGTGGGGGTGGCACAGGGGGGCGGGGACGGTCTTACCAGATCAATGAACGTCAGGAATTTCCAGCTCCCGCCGTAGGTCTTGTGCGAGGGCATTTCGATGGCCTTGTAGTTGCACAGGATGGAGCAGTAGGACAGCAGGATGGCCACCCGCAGCACCTGACAGGGGACAAGCGCCATGTTCGCCACGGGCCTGGGCCGGCGGGGCTGGCTGGGCACGCGGGGACCGGCGGCGTGGGAACTCCGGCGCGCGGGCGGCGGGGCGGGGCGGGGCGGGGCGGCGGGCGGGGCGCGGCGGGGCGGGCCGGGCCGGGAGGGGCCGCGGGAGCGGCAGCACCGCGAGCGCCCGGCGACCTGCGCGGGCGGACGGGCTGGGCGGACGGGCTGGGCGGGCGGGCCTTGTGGCGTCAGCTGCTCCGTCATCGCCGTCATTCTGCAACTGCCCTCGCCGGGCCCGGGTGCCCCCAGCCGACCGGGTGGGAGGGGGGTCCCAGCTGCGGCGGCGGGTGGGCGCGGGGCAGCTGCCGGGAAACGTGCCCCCGTGCACCGACTTTGCAGCCCCACCCCCGGGAATGCAATCGAGGTCCCGGGGATATTTGCTTGGGGCTAAGTTGGAGGTGGGAAGGGTGGGGGAGTGGGGGAGGAGGGTCTCCACGCAGAGGACCCTGTGATCGTGTGAGTAGGGGGTGCCACGCCCTCGCAGCCTCCGAGGGTCTTGCACTAGGTGGGACTCAAGTAGCAGGTTTGAGTGTTAGGCAACTTCCAGAGACCGGCTCTGAAGTTCCCTGCTCAATTGTGCAACTGTGGACAGACTGCCAGCACTTTTCCACCGGCGGTTTATAAATATCATATCAGCAGATAATAAAACAAGACGGGCTGAAGTTTCGACCAGAGGTTTCTAGATAAAAGGTTATCCAGGAAAGGGGAGTGGGGGCGTGGCGTAGCTCTTTCTGCTACGGGGTTGCTTTCAACTGTCAATTATTGTAAAGTGTGGACACAGAATCCGTGTGTGTGATGTAGGATTTTTGCCCTTTTTCCCTTTTGCCCTTTGGCTTACTTTATGTTTTCCTTCACGACAACCCCAATGTTTCGTGAGAGGAAAATAAATATAAACTGGATCCCCGCTGCCTTCCAGTAAATGTCACATTGAAGATGCATCAGTCTATCTATCGGCAGTATTTTTTTTTTTTAGTCTTTCACATTTCAACCAATCAGATGTAGGGTCAAGTTATGAGAAGACAACCATGTTTCCTCTAGGCCATTTAAAACAGGTGGCTTCTCCAAATAGCCTCTGAGTCACTGAACTGGGAAAGACAGTGACAGAGATAAAGAGTAGCTACTCATAGATGTCTTCCTGATTTTTTTCAAATCTGGTCCTAATCCCCTCTCCCCCAGCAAAAATAAATAAATAAATAAATAAATTTATTTTAAATGCCATTATGTTTATTACTCTTGAAATTGATTTCACAAAAACAAAAATAATTCCACGAAGATTAGACTACCATTAAAGTATGCATTATTGATGACTTGTTTTATCCTCATGTGAGTTGAACTTATTTTTTTTATTGTGTCCATGTTCATGAGATTGCAAAATTAAAATGTCTGTCTACTGAAGAGCTGTCTCAATAATTTCTTAATAAATATGCATGACTTCATGTGTGCTTTGCTGAATTTATCACTGCTCAGAGACTGAAACTATCCTTGTCAATAATTTATTCAACATAGAGTCACTGCAGGCTATGTAATCTTATAATAAGAATATTTTACAAGACAATAACATATGAGATGATGTCCCTCAGTAAGTCAATACAGGAATAACAAGCTTCAAACCCACTTTGGAATTGATACACTTTTTGTTCCAAAGAGAGGAGAAATGAAGGGAAGTAAGTCAGAGTTAGCTGAGCTGCCATCTTTTAACAGAATGGTCCTTGGATGCATCTGTTCAATTGGTAGTTCTTAACTCTCTCTGCTGGAGTGCGTAGGGACCAAAGACACTGGAGTTGGCACATGAGGTGGGCTGCTCTCAAAGTTAGTTCCAGAAACTATTGCAGGACTTTAGCATCTGTCTGGGCTGGAGTCATAGTACAGCAGGTAGGGCGTTTGCCTTGCTCGGGGCCGACCTGGTAGGTTCGATTCCTGGGCCACTCTCGGAGAGCCTGGCAAGCTACTGAGAGTATCTCGCCCTCATGGCAAAAGCCTGGCAAGCTACCCATGACATATTTGACATGCCAAACACAGTAATAACAAGTTTCACAATGGAGATGTTACTAGGCCCGCTCAAGCAAACCGATGAAAAACGGGAAGACAGTGACAGTGACAGTGAAAGCATCTGTCTAGAAGGAGAAATCTTCTGGAGGTTGGAAACATAGTCATCTGTTAAGTTCATGAGATCACTGCACAGGTTTCTGCACTATTTCGAATGCATGGCTCGCAAAGATTGCTTGTGTCTTAAGATCTTCCCAAGTCCCTACATAGCTTTGTGTATGGACAATAAGGAATGGTCTGGCAGTTGGAGAATATATCTTAAAATTTTCAGGGAGCTATTAAGATCTGAGACGTGTTGCCCAGACTAGACATTCCAGTAAGTTTTCAAAAATATTTGATATTTAGAGTAAAGCAAACATTGGACAAACTCTCTCATTGGGTATATAAAGAAATAAAGAATTCTGATAAGGATTCAGTTACTGGTCAAAAAATTAAAAGTGGTTCTGAACAATATGCTTCTGTTCCTTTTACCTGGTGTACAGCAAACTCAAACATTTAGTGATTCAATGTAAGGGGGAAAAGGAGAATTAAGGAAATAGTCAATGGCCAATAAAAACAAATCTTTAGATTCTAACAAGTTACTTGTGTATGGTGGGGGAGGGGGAAGGGAGTTGAAGGAAAGGGTCCTGTGGACTGTGGTGGAGGCAAGATTTACACTTTCGTGATGAGTCCAAAATGTTCACATTAACAGTCAGTGTTTTGTAATATATAAAATAACAACAAAAGCAAATTCTTCATTGCATGATGGGTTTTCCTGTGATTGCTATGGGATTAGAGAGTCTGTATTTGTATTAGTGAGTCTCAGAGGCACAACAATGAAGTGACCTCATCCTCTCTAAGTTTGTATTGATAAGAAAGTGCTAGTATCTGAGCCAGAGGGATAGTACAGCTGTTAGGGTCCCTCAGTTGTCTCCAGGAGTGATCCCTAAGGGAGAACCAAGAGAAAAGTCTGAGCACCATCAAGTGTGCCTTTCCAAAAGAAAAAGACAAAGTCCTAAGATCAATTATAAAATAATTTTAGGCAAGCAAGTCAGGCTCATTTAAAACACCCTCCTCTGAATCATGCTTTAAAAATTTGAAGTTCTTTTGAAGAAAAATGACAATTTACAACAACAAAAATTCTGTTCATATGTGTTTTATCTTATATTTCAGAAAATTTATTAACAAGAGTTAATACCCTCATAATGAAAATTATATTCTACTAAAGGTATTTAAAATTTGCCTGTAGTCAGTTTTTAGAAATCAATATAAAATATGGGCTGGAGCCATAGCACAGTGGTAGGGCATTTGCCTTGCACGCAGCCAATAACAGTTTCCATTCCTCCGTCCCTCTCAGAGAGCAGAGCAAGTTACAGAAAGTATCTCGCCAGCACAGCAAAGCTGGGCAAGCTACCCATGAGGTATTCTATGCCAAAAACAGTAACAACAAGTATCACAATGGAGATGCTACTGGGCCGCTCAAGTAAATTGATGAACAAGGGGAGGACAGTGCTACAGAGCAGTGCTAATATAAAATATAAGTAGTTTGTAACTATTATCTAATGTGTTTGCTTTTTATTATTTTGTGACTTGCTAACCACAGTTGTGAATTTAGTGTTTTTCTTAGTCTTAGGCATGCTTTAAATATTTTTTGGAAAATATAATCTACACATAGATTGTGCATTTTTTATTGTAAATGTACCAGTGAGACATTGCTCTTTAAGGTTCTCTCATTAGAAATTCATCTTTTTTTAGGGTAATAGAGATAGTACAGGAATTAGGGCACTTGCCTTTCCTGCAGCCAGCCAGGGTTTCATCCCTGGAACGACATATGGTTCCCCAGGCACTGGAGCACAGAGCAAGGAGTATAACCTGAGCTTACTCTGATAAGTCTGCTTCCTCCCACAAAATAAAAGAAATTTATTTTTTTATAAACTAATTGGTGTTCAGTGATAAGTATTTGTGAGATGACTTTACATCTGAGTTAGAAAGTAATGTCCTCATTAAGCAAAAAATTATCTGCATGTCACTTTTTCCGGCTCTTCCATCTACAATACAATTAGTGGGAATGAAGAATAACCATATACAATTGAGTTTCACTAAAGCACATTCCCTAAGGGACTACTTGAAGGACTTCTTTTGACTTCTGGTTATATGTCTTTGATTAGAGCAATTACTCTCACCAGTCTTTATATGGGCTGAAGACATTTTTTATGTCCTTCTAAAAGTTGATGATTGAAATCTTTCATCCCTCTGTTTTTGTTTTTGTTTGTTTTTTTTTTTTGAAGGGGAGGACGGGAGGACGCATGACTTGTTGGTGATGACAATCCTTACTAATTTTGGCAATGAATGGGACCCCTGTGTCTTCCTTATGTTGATTTCCCAGACCTTCATCTTTATATACTATGGATCTATGATTAAAACATAATCAAGAAGACTTAGTTTTATATATACACAATACACAGGGGTTTTTTGCCTTGATTCTGTGTTTATATTTTCTAACAGTATTGATATATTTTAATAAATAATTTCTCCCTTTCATGCCTCTGAATACAAGGGTGAAAGATGAGATGTGTCCCTTTGGTCAGGGGGGAAATTCTGTCAATATCACAGAAAAGATTTCTTTAGAGCTCTTATTTCTTCATTATAAAAATTTAATGCATATTTGTGATGTTAAAATAGGAAAGCCTAAAAGAAGAAAAATTTACTAAAACATTTTAACATATGCATGCATCTTTCCCATAATGCATAATTAGTTATTTTTTGCCTTCAATGTAATGAGTCTTCTATTATTACTGAAAATATTGTGAAAGTTGTTTAATAATGATAGAGCATAACAAACTGTGAGTATGCCATATTTGTTAAAACATTACCTGAATTTGTATATTTAGGCTGTTCCCAGTTCTGTATTATTTTTAATGTACTGTAATACCTGTTTTTTGAGTGACAAAGTTTAGGCATTATTTGTACCTCACACCAGTTAAGAAACCACCATTTAATGGGATGAGAAGATATCCCAAACA